GTTAAGAGTTGTAACTAATAAATCTAAACGCTGTTTACTTTGATATCCAAGATATTTCAACGTTCCACGTACCCTTCTTTTGCTGATGTTGCAAATGTCTGTATAGATACATTATTTTTATTGTTGCAAGTTGTTTTGACATTATATGTAAGCTGTATATTTTACTTATGAAAGTATATATACAGTGCATCTTTTTTAAAAGCGGCCATTTTACTGGATGTAATTTGGGTTATCTTTTGTCGATTTTATTAAAAGTCATGTTCTACCCTAAAGGATATTTCTTTAAAAAAATTAAAATATTTGGATATTTTTGTCGCTAACATTGTAGGCAGCCATGTAAAACAGACATTTACCTGACGTTTCTAAAATTCGTCAACATGCCGCAGTACACAATTAAAGAAAAAGTAGAAATGGATACATTAAAGCCTTATCGACAACAGAGAAACTGCGGAAAACTTTGCTACAACATTCTCACATCGTTCCATACCCGGCAAGAGCACATTTTGAAAATTTTATGGCAGATCGATCGTGGACATTAAAAACGCAATTTCAATGATTCCCTTCATTTATGTTTGAATTCCATCATTCTGTTTCTTTTCTAAAAACTGCAATAAAGGTATATAAATCAAAATTATGCTGTCAAAAATGACAAGTTAAAATGATAAGCCAAAACAAAACCGTCTATGTAGTAGCAAACTTTTTTAATCATAAAATAAATTTTATTGTTTAAAGCACAAATTAACAAATCACTGCAAAAAGTGGTAGTGAAAATTAAAGTAGAACCCTAAGGCTATTTTCTCTGCAAAAATCATGTCTGGATTTTCAACCTAACAAAAGTTAACATGCGGGGTTTAAAATTTAACATGGGAATCCCTATGGCCACTTTTAAAACAGATGCACTATATATAAACGTTCTGCTGATCTTCACAGTATGATGCGATGAATACACTTGGACGTTGCCAGCCACAAGTTCCTCAAAGACACTTTAAAGCCAAAATTTTATAGACAACTGGCGAAAATTCCTTTTAAAAAGTTTTAAAAAAGCTTCTACCGCATTTGATTAGTTAGGGTTGTTAATCTTCACGTTATCAACTTTGTAACATTCCGAACAAACTGTACATGCATGAAACTGTCATTATTTCTTGTTTAGTTATAATCATGTTGGCATCTATATAGTTCAGCATTATGCATTTTTTTTTTAATTAATCAAAACTACTTAAACAGAACTACTTAGGGAAAATGATATTATTAAAATCTGCAAACTATAAACAAACGCATGAGTTTGAGAATTTGGCGAAATTGGTCCTACAGATGGTAATTAAGTCGCTAAAAATTAGTGACCGCAAAAACTGTGGTAACAGATGAAGTGGGGTCCGAAATGTTAAAGTAATGGACGAAAAAACTGGTCGAAAGTTGTTTCTTCCAGAACTTCCCTCGCCTCTGAAGTACAATGAAACATATCCAATATCCAGCATTTTAGTTAGAAAAATTTGATTTTAAGAATTTTATTTTTTTAAGAGAACCCCTATAAGCCGACATAAAACATATATAAATATGTAATCTTAAAGTGGAATGGAATTTCCGAAAGGAATATTAGGAGTAAAAAGAATAGACAAAAAGAAAAACAGATATATGGAAGAAGTTGCAAGTTAAATCAGGAAAAAGAGATGCTGATGGAAAAGAAACTACTGTGGTTTGGACATAAGACAATGGAAGAGGAAAGACAAGTCAAAATTGTGGGAGGTAAGGATTACGTGGAACAAACACAAAAATTGTAAGAGTGGAGAGGCCAAACATGGAACTCAACCAACAAATTGATTGGAGACAGAAAGAAATAGAGACATATTGTTGCAAAGTATAGTCTGCAGTAAGGAGCAGGAGGGACATCGACACCTTTTAAGGTAAGAACAGTAGCAGATTATGTATCTATATAACAGTAGGTAGGTATAAAAATCAATTTAAAAGAATAAGGTAAAAATAAAGTTTGATATAATAGTTACCTACAGTAGTCACTAAACTAAGTGCACGGTCTCCGATATTTCATTATTTATTAGTACCTATTATTAGAGATAGGAAAAAGTCAAAGACCAGCGTTATACGGTTTTTTAAAGACTACCCTTAAAAATGAGGTATTTTTTAACTACACATAGTCTTCGGTTTTTAAGACGTAATGCACAGCTTTTTTTTTTTAAATTAAACATCCTACATATTTTGATTGAGCTCTTCTTAGGCTTTACAACTACAGTTAACTTTTAAAATTCCGAGACGCTGCCATATTTTCCAATTTTCTTGATTTTTTTTGGCAATGGAAGATTTCACAAAAAAACCGCAATATGGTTTTTTTAAAGTCCGCATTACAATATTTTGTAGAAAAATAATAAAAATACGCCGTATGTTGTGCGATCAACTCAATCAAATTTCAGTATACAGGGTGTTTATAAAAAATGTAAAACTGTATTTTTTAAACACCGATAGGTAAACAGTTTTTTCAACTGGAAGCCCTTGTATTTTATTACTGCATCTTACACTATTTTTTCTCCCCATTCTTGTAATATGTCGGATAGGGTAAAGTCAGGAGAGTTGGACCAGTGGGAGAGACGGTCCATTAGCAATAACTCTGAACCTATTGGAACAATTTAAATTTCCCGCGAACTACAGTTGCATTTATCTGCATTCATGTCGGGACATGTGAAAGTACTTTTGTTTCAATTAAATGTTTTGCGTTATTCAACATTAAAATTTTCTTGCGGGCCTGAAATTTCAGCCGCTTACTTTGCGATAACGTTTGTTGGAAGTCTGGTAAGTTTGCATATAAAAGTTATAGACAGTACAATTAATGGAAGCTTTGTCTTTGATTTTAACCTCACTTTACGTGATTTTATCATCTAGTTGTGCCGCAATGTAGTGGTCCATCTGTCCTAACATAAAAGGATAGATGGTCCAACGGTGTGACAGAGAGATGGACTTATGTTCCATTTTTTAGAAAATGCCAAGTAATTACATACGAAAAACCAACGCAAGGTAGATTTGAATTCCATCTCTATGGCTATTAATTTTTAGGTCTAGCGGGCAAAATATGGTTGGCTTCTTTTTTGGATTTAATATTGTGTACTATGCAAAAGATGGTTACACAAGAGATGTACGAGCTATGAGGCCCTTTGTCAAACCTATGGAAACACTATTAACAAAAGAAAAAGTAAAAATTTGGTGGTTTATCTATCTTACCTAAAATGGTCCGACTGTCCTACCCTTGACAGGATAGTTGGACCGTTGCAAGCGTTTACCATTTTTTTTTTTGATGGATTATCATATTGTGTTGGAACAAAAAAATTACTTGTACCTTAAAAAATAAATGTTCAGCTATGTTCTTGTAAATTTTATATTTTTTTAAGTTGTTCAATAAAGGAATTATATTGAGTTTTTTAAAAGGTGGTCCAACTCTCCCGACTTTACCCTATGTCTCTTAAAAAAGTACAAATTGCATTAACTATCAACTTTAAATACTATAGAAAATGCTCGGCAAAAAATAAAAAGAACAAAAAAAAACAATAACATGCAGTAATAAAATATAGGGTGTTCTATTTGAAAAAACTGAAACATCGGTATTTGAAAACTGTAATAATAACAATATTTTTTATAAACACTCTGTATATGAGAATTTAATCTCATTTGTACGACAACAAAGCGCGTAGCTTTTTTTTATTCCTCCACAAAATGTTGTAACACAGAATTTAAAATAACCCTGTTGTGATTTTTTTATGAATCCTTCCAATGCTAAAAGATTTCAAAAAAATTGGAATAACGTAGCAACGTAGCATCGTAATTTCAAAAATGAACTGTGGTTGTAAAGCCTAAGACGTCAATTAAAATATGTCAAGATATACCTACCTATAGCGTTTTTCATTAAAGCTGTGTGTTACGCCTTAAAAAGTTCTGAACTGACAATGATGAATTGTGACTTTGATTGTTTCCGTGTTTACAAAAAAATATATTTTTCTGTTTGAACTTGAAAAATTCATTTTCAATTGATGTAAATAAATCCTGCATTAGTTAATTTAAATTGTTTAAGCCTCATTTTGATGTCACCAAAAGGTGAAATCATTTGTTTGTTATTCAAGCGGTAGATATAGTAGTTCTGAGCAATTAGGTGATAGAAAACATTCTGTATACCTACATATAGAAAAATGCAACAAATACAAATGCTATAGACAAACTGTGTAACTTCTACGAATAATAAAGGACAAGGAAGAAAAATTCATATGGGAATCAAAGTTTGACTGTAAGTATATGATGCTCTCATTACAATATAAGGGTACGTAGGTACTGTAACTTCATTTGAGATACACCTGTTAAAACTTTTATGACTTTAGCGGCTTAAGCCAAACCACCCTTATACGTCAAACTGGCTATTGTATGCTTTTTGTGGACCCGAACCGTAAAATTATTACTGTCCATTATTGGCATCATTTAGCTGTGAACTGAGTTAAGTAATACAATAGCCAGTTTGACTTATAAGGGTGGTTTGGCTTAAGCCGCTTAAGTCATAAAAGTTTTAACAGGTGTCTCTCAAATGAAGTTACAGTATATACGTTAAACTTAAAAAAAAATAGACAATTAGCGAAACCAAAACAGCACGCAAAACGTAGAAAAAACTGTTATATCTATGGAAACATCGAAAATGCAGTGTCCCTATTGGCGATTGTGTACGTTAACGTAAAATACGTTGTATAATTTCGCTAATTGTCTAATATCAAAAGCCTTGCCATGTAGGTACGTACGTATATTATTTACAATGTGAAATAATTATTAGGTACCAAGTAAGAAAATTGCAACAGAATATGTTCCAATCATTTCGTTTTAACACTAAAATACAACGAAAGAAACGATTTCTGTTGCCCCAGTTAAAAAGGAATAAAAGAATTTAAATCTAAAGCATAAATTTGTCATAATAGTTTATTTACATAAATATATCTGACTATTTTTTATTAATTATTGCTTACCGGGATACTGCCACAAAGTCGGTGTGGTCAATGTCGAATTGTGCGCTCCGCCCATTGACCAGCCCGCCAATGCCGTGTTTCGTTCGTCCGTACACTGTAACAAAGTCGCACCTCCGGCCGCGCCTCCTGTCGTGGTTGCAGCCATACCTGCCGTCGCCCCTTCTCCTGAAAGAAATTTGAGGAGGTAGCGTTATTCGAATAGTTTTAAAACCAAATGAAACACGTATCGCAGTGTTATGATTATTAATAGCAGCTTGATATACGTAAAGAGGAACGTTATACTCAAAATCATCTTTTTTCATTTGTTTTTCTTTTTGAAATTTCTATTTAACAATGAATGCAGTTTTGACTGGTTTGATTTCTGAATGTGGCAAGTCATTTCATGGTCATTATTATGGTATTGGTACGTAATATGAACATAGAGTGATACAATACCTCTTTCCATTAATCTAAACATCATCTTATAAAAACTTATTAGAAAATGATTCGGGATCGCGTCATTTGACATGACTTAGATTCTAAATACAACCATTTTCTTTTGATTTAAGGATCATACGGGCATGTATTAGTCTGCTATACCTATATATAGTTATTTCATATAATTTATTCAAAATATATACCTAAGCCTAACAACTTCATATAGATACTTTCGTAACACGGAAAACGAAATGATGGGCTGATCTCGTCTGGTCCGTTTTTGCTAAAACTTCCCATACTTATACAGGATTCATTTTTGCGTATATGATAAAGTTTAGAGTAGAATACTAAATTATTAGATATACAAATTGACACCGAAGAATTATGTCTTAAAGTGTTTAGTGAGTTAGTTTTTGATATGACATTACCAAGTTTTCGATCGGATAATAATATACCTGCTTATATCTAAGATATAATTAAACAGAAAGGAAATTTTATTGACGTGCTCTTAAATCTCAAGCAGATAAAATAAAGTGGTTCATTCATCCTCATCCTGTGCAGTGGTTTAAAAAGTGAAAAAGAAAAGCATTACTGAAGTACAAGCAATCATCCTAAGACGTAATATTTTCAATAAAGAATTACCCTTTTTTATAACTTTTTGAGATAACCAACTTTGTGGTTGGATATTGTATAGCACGATTTGTTTGGGGCACGACGAGCGCAGCGAGGAGGGTTCCAAAGGCGAGTTCTTATAGGTCTTATTAAACCAGTGTACCTGTATAACTATTTAAAAGTAAAATGGAAAATCTGGTTTCGATTATTATTTAGGGTTTTTGGGGCATCGTCTGTTTAGATGGCAATACTGTCAAAAAGATTTTGACGTTTGTGTAAAATTCAATTTTCAAATTACTGCTGGAAATTTTGATCTGAAAGTGCTTCTGTTCCAGCTTTAGCGTTTAGCACGAACTCTCTACACGTGATCTTGACCATGATAACTCAAAAGTGAGTTAAAATTTTTCATGATAATTCGTACATTCGAAAAATTTGATACCTAGGTACAACCTACAATACTTTATTCGTTTAGAACCGTCTATAAACGAGTGTGGATATATACATTTGACACCAGATACTTGACGTAGGTATGTATACTTGTCCAAAAGGTATAAGGTTATATGACCATCATAAAAGTAGTTAACCGCAAATAAATACCCCCTTTGTGTGGTTCGCACTAAGCTTACCGGTTGGCAATAAATCGTCTTCTAAACATTTCTTGCTCACATTTAACAGGACCGGCTTTCAAAGCGAGTGGTTATTTCGGAACCCTGAGCGGCTGCAGGTAGTAAAGAAATAGTGGAGTGGTAGATTTTCATATTTAGTGAAAACCACCCCTGAACGAAACCACAACAGCCGGTCGAGCTGCAGTGGACACGTTATTTACGACCCTAAAACCTCTTCTATTGTAAACAACTTAACTTCGACACAATGGGATGATTTTATGATGGCCATATAACCTTATAGCTCTTGGTCCACTATATGTAGAGTTGCGGCCCCCAGAAGTGCACGATTTTTCGTTGTCATGGAATTTTTTGAATTTTTAAATTAATGTAAGTCTGGTTATTACCAGAGGCGTAGCATTTTTGAATAAACAAAATGTCAAATTTGACAAACTTTGTTATTCGAACGCCCATAATTTGGCAATACATGTACAATAAAGAAAAAACTGTACATATATATCACGTTCGAAAAAATATGGTATGTACCAACATTCCGAAGCAAATCTTTCCTAAAAACTGTTTCGCAGAAGCTTCCATTGTGAAACTATTTTCGGTCTGAGACGAGTTGACCCTAAGAATGTTATATTTGCCTGCCGGATTCCAAATTATAGAATATATACGAGTATATAACCTTTGTGGTAAAGACCCAGTTGACTAAATCATCAGGAACACCCCATAATCATAGTCATTAGTCAGTCAGACAGGCAGAATAAGACAGCTCATAAGACTCGCAACGTCAAATCATTTTCACCAATGTGCACCCAACGATTCCATACAAAATTATTTTAAATTTAATATCATAGAATTTAAAGGACTAAACCTTGCGTCACCTATCCCTCAGGGCAGAGACAAAAACGATGAATATTCTTAAGTTTAAGTTTCAGGCAACAGATATAATATGTTAACCCAAACGAGTCCATAGAGCTTCCCTGATCAAGAGGAATTAAACATGAAGACACCAACTATCCTATAGTTATGATATACGATCATCAAACTTGTTTCAAATGTCATCAGATTGGTCCTATAGTCAGCCAATGTCAAAACGCCACAGAAAATTCTGTTAATACACTTCCTATGAACGACTCCATACTTGCCAACACATAATCGAGCCACACCACAACTGCGACCAAGAACCAGAAACACGGATTGAACAAGGGTTCTTAAAATACTGGAACTAAGAGATCCTAAGCATCAGTAGAAGAATTCGTCCTCGACGTTTCACCGATTTATCAGAACACTAATGAAAAAAGTCAGACAAGGTGGCTCTACCGAGGATTCACTAGTACCTACGAATTATTAGGATCGGTAAAATCACTGTGGGAAAGACCAGATCACATACCACGTACTCACTGAATTTCCATCACTTGATTAAGCTCATGGAAGAAATAAAGGGACAGTAAAATATTTTGACTGTTATTGATTTGTTATATCAAATTTATCTTTATGACAAAAAACTCATTGACAAAGGCTGACTGAATTTGAGTAACCTTTACCCTGCTACACGAGATACCCTTTACTAATTCTACATTCATGGTAATAACGATAGGTTCCAATCTCATGTTCTTGTCATCCCTTGAATGTACACGAATATTGTATCTGTTTGTGCTAAGCTTCATTAGGTGCTCTTGTGTTGACAACCACCTTCCCATTTCATCCCATATGCGTTCAATGGGTGATAAATCTGGATATTTTGGCGGCTATGGCAGTAAGTCGACATTTTCTTGTTCAAAATATTGTATAACAACGCGGGTAATATAAAGATGCGCTTTATCTTGTTGGAAAATCCCCTCTTCAAAATCTTGAATAGGTATATGAACACCATATGGATCCAACGCATCGTCAATATACCGGCGATCAGTTATATTACCCTGAATGAAGACCGGAAGTAACATGCTTCCTAAACAAATAGCACTCCAGACTGTATCACGTGTAGTACGTGCGGCATGACGTTCCACAGTATTGCAGATTTTGTCTTTCACCCCGATACCTTAGGACCCTCATCCATCGTGCATTGCCAGGCAGAAATAGCATTCGTCACTGAAGATTACAGTATTCCAGTGATGGTTCCGATAACTCCGCATCATGCACCATTCGAGTCTCTAACGCCTTCTAGAGTAAGAGTAGGCACCCACTATTTTTGAGTGTTGCAATTTCCATTCAACACAGTATATACTGTAAGATTTAGCTACCTATTACTGATAATAACCCAAGGAGTATTGAGTTTCTACTTATCTAATGATACTGAGCTCCGCCCAATAATCTTGAAAGTGATGAAGTGTTAATAACTGAGATAGCTAAACTAGCCAACAGTAATCCTTATTTGTTTGCTTTTGGTAACTTATTCCACCAACAATCAAGTGCTCAGCAGAAGACAACCGACCGGTGGGCGATCCTTTGGTAAAACAGGTACTGGAATTATTGGATAATAGCTATTTTGTTCAAATTGTTCGAAGTCCGACAAGAGATATTGTTATGAAGTAAACGCATACGACACCTATAGGTTTTCTAGTACGTACGGCGATGAGCGGTGGTGACTCATCATCGGTGACGCCGGCGTTCGAACAGAGAAAAGTCTTGATGCGGTACTGAAAGTATCGAATGCGACGATCTTTAATCCTCTAGAAGACCGCATGGCGGTCTGAATAGACTACCATCGGGACCAGGCAGTCGGAGTCCAGTCAATGAGAGAATTAGGGTTTAGTCAAATCCATACCAGTCTGAATTATCCTGTACATAATCGCTGTTAGTCGTGTAGTTTCGTATTACTGTGAAATAAATTTTTAAGTTTTACCCATGCCGATTTTAATTTCCGATCATCATAACAACTAACAATATAGACAAAACCAAGAAGGTTTAATACTAAATTTAAAAATAGGTCTGATGAAAGCCTTGTTTCAAATTTAGAATATGGTTCTCCAGTTAGAACGAACATCAGACTACTGAGTTTATTTGTTAACCTACAATTAAACTGTCCCCGTCAGGAGAGTCTGCAGGACTACTAAATCCTACGTCAATTGCGACTAATTAGAACAGGATTTTGAAAATATAAATTGGAATGTAGTACTGAACAGTGACTCTACAACTGAGAATTGGTCAAAATTTAAAAACGGTTTATACTCTGGTGACCAAGAATTGGACGTAAAAAACGTTCACTCGATCCACAACAAAACCTTGGATCAATGAACCTCTCCTCGATATGATAAAAATAATATTTCTTTGGAAAAAGTTTAAAAGAAGCGATAAAAATACAGACTGTAACTCACACAGCTTACGCTAACAAGGTTTCTGAGAAAACAAAATACCCATATCACAACTCATTCTTTTGTTGAACGGCTTGGGATTAACGGTTCTTTACTGAACTGGATACATTCATTTCTGTCTGACAGGATACTTTTTAGTTAAAGTTGGAGACTCTTTGAGCTCCAAAAAAACACGTAGCGTCCCTCAAGAAGCTCTATTGGGGCCAATGTTCTT